CGTGTCAACCTCCAACAATTGGTAAGAAATGTGGCTGATTGAAGTCAGCGCCGTGCTCATGTAACCTCGTTGTCAACTAGGAGTCGGGACCTAGGTTTATGCTATTCCGAGTAAATATGTTTGAGGCTCAGAGCGCATCAATGCTTACCTTTGTTTCCACCCTCCTACCTCTATTCACCAAAACCATCTAAGTTCGTCCTATGCTTAGACTACGAGGGCTAGGATACTGTCGCTAGAAGTAATATGCCAGTGACAGGAGTACTAAGACCAGTAAATAGTATACTAAAATGTGGCCTGTACGTGCATGTGGTAAGTTTAAACCTAGTATGTATTCGTGACTTATATCGGACAAATGGTAAACTGAAGGTTTAAAGAAACGTGTATTTACTAATAGCTGAAGATCAAACGTGCATTTAGTTTGTAAAATCGAACATTTTGCCGTTTTTCCAGAGTATTGTTGACGGCCTACAGTACCTGGCTCGAGCCTTAATTTGCAGAACATCACCTTTTCCAGAAACAACTGGACACGGGAACTTAGTGATTCCTATAGTAGTATCCATGGCAAATTTCTCACCTTCATGTAGTGATTGTGTAAGACACTCGGGTTTCCCTGTAAGCATGCGGTCTGTTTACAGAGTTGCAGATCAGCAGATGCAGGCACGAAACATTCGAGGTTTCATCGGTTACGTTCACCGCACACGTTTCAAACCTAATCTGGCGATTACTAAATGCCCGCATTCTCCCCTTATTATCTACCGTTTTCTGGTTATTTTTCTAGTATTGCTTAAGAAAGACCTGCTTATTTTTTAAACATGTCCTCCGAATGCTCTCTTCAGTTGTCGGTGTTTCTAATGCGTTTTCAGCTGATACTAGAATACAGTGACAGTTTGAAAAGGGTTAAGCGATTTGCTAATCGCATTCTTAGTGAGGTCGCTCATCCCCTCCACTGTGAAATAAAGGTTGCGTAGTCTGCCCGCACTATATATTTCTTGCCGTACACCGGCATATCAGCACTCTGTACTCCCATTCCTAGCACGCAACTTCGCGTGAAAAGAAACGGAAATCCAGAAGTTCAAATTCGACCTGCCTCTATAATAGATTTGGATTTCGTGTCAACCTCTAAATTTTGACTATTGTATTACAGTATTCGCCGGTTATTAAGCCCACGGCTAATAGGCCCAGCCGCTTATTAAGCCCAATTAGGTCTGGGTCCGAGGTGGGCATAATAACCGGCGACTACTGTACCTTATCTCTTAGCCTCTGTGAATGGAGCCTCTTTTGCTGAAACTGTTGGATACTTACCTTCAAAATAGAGCGTAAGTCTCTAATTCTTATCCTTGAATGAGTGGCAAAATATAGGCTGAATTGCATTTCCTTCAAAACTGTGCTCGCATCGTGTGCTGATGACCAAATTATTGTAGTCGGAATAAAGAAGCGTAAAGGACGATATACCTCTATAGGGGTGAAATGAGAGCACAGAAGAATGGCCGACCGAATTTCGAAAGCATGCCAACGTTATAAAAAATCCGACATTCTTATTTTTTACACCAATTCTGTTCATGTTTGGCGGCTCAGTGTAGAGCTGTTGCCGATTTCGCAACTGGAAGTTCCGGAAACAAAAAAAGAACTTGATGCCTCACATGACCTGCCTTCTTTTTAAATGTGACTCTCACACAGATTAGACACCATCATAGTTCTCTTAACTCAATAGCCAACTCTAAACCGCTGTACGACTGCTCCTCCAGGTCTCCCATCTGATTTGGAGTGTTGGCAATGCAGAGAACCAGATCATTTCAATTCCAAGACTGAGGAGGGAAACGAGGGCGCTGATGCCGAGGAGGATGAAAGTGCCCGAACTCTGACTCATGTAAATAGTCATGGATTCCCCGGCAACTGGCGACGCGCCATCTGGCCTCTTCGGCGGTTCCAGCCACTTGCTGTACAGTCTCTGAATAATTCCTGTTTCTCGGAGGCGATGGATGCTGTGTAGAAAAGAAAAGGATAGGACATGAGCATTCATCAGATCAATAGCCCCTCAAAAATTTCGAGAATTCTTTAAAGCCATGCACTCCGTGGACTTGTGCATCATCCGACAAATTGAGTTAGATACCGCGTATAAATGCCTTAATGAAAAATTGGAGAAATGAGGAGCGACCGATACAGACTAGCGTAAGCTGCGGCCGAGAATAAGCGTTCGTATCAGTTGGATGTTGACTTTTGGAATTTGTAAGCGTTTTCTGCATATCTACTCATGTCTGACGACTATCTGGGTAACCAGCGACGCAATGGTACCCAAGAAAGCTACTTTGTTTTCCAAAAGCACGTAGGTGCTCTCAAATATAAATACCTATATTCTGTAGGCAAAAAGCGAATTTGTGGATTAAGCTAGTGGAAGAGATAAATGGTGCTGCGTTTTATTTGCGCAAAAGTGATCCTCCTATCACCGTTCATGAGAGAGGTCACATGCTCCTCCGTTTCTCACACCATGTCTTATCAACATCTGAGGCGGTTTATATGTGAACCAATCCTGTTTGATTGCCTTGGAAAGTTTTCTTTTTTGATTGTTTATTTTATAAGTAAGCAAAGGTCATTAACAGTTGAGCAAGACGTCGCACATTTGCCTGCTGCGTATTCCCCCAAATGTTGCCCGGTCCAAGTGAGCACTCGCTACTGACAGCTGGCTTTACGATTTCGGGCGTCCTTTTTCAAGTTTGGATACCCCAAGTTCATTAACCTCACTGACATACACTCACTTTACTTCCACATGAAAAATCATCGTGGCCACCCAAGCACTAATCACACACTCCACCGCTTTACGGATTGGTCATTAGGCACAGCACTCTTCGTGCAATGCAACATCCCAATAGGACAGTGTTTACACGTGCTCCACGAACCTATTAAAGCAGCTGTCACCGCT